TAACTTTGAATCCTTCACATGATAGAACGTAGGACACCCAAAGACATGTAAAGATCCATAGTCAGCAACAGGTTTTCCCGACCATACCTCCAACGGTGTTTTACCATCTTTTGCAGAATACGACAAACGATTTATGAGGTGTTGCGCGTATGTTACAGCCTCAGCCCAGTACTCCTTGCCCAAATCAGCATTAGACATCATACATCAAACTTTCTCCACCAATGTTTGATTCATGCGCTCTGCCACCCCATTTTGTTGTGGTGTCCGTCTAACGGTGAAGTGCCTAACAATGCCATTTTTACGGCAAACTTCTTGAAAGGGATCGCTTGTATATTCTCCATCATTGTCTGTTCGTAGGACCTTGATCTTCCTTCTAGTCTGGTTCTCAATTTGTGTCTTCCATGTAATGAAGACACCAAGCACTTCATCCTTCGTCTTCATAGTGTACACCCAAACACGTCTGGAAAAGTCATCGATGAAAGTGACAAAATAGCGTCTTCCGCCTAATGATGAGGTCTTAGAAGGTCCCCAAACATCCGAATGAACATAATCCAAGACACCTTCGGTATTATGGATAGCCGTTCCAAACGTCACTCTCTTCTGCTTTCCCAAAACACAGTGCTTACAAAAGTCTAGTTTGCACACTTTGACATCTTTCAACAGTCCTTGTTTTGCCAATGTTTGCAAGGACTTTTCACCAGCATGTCCCAAACGCATATGCAACAACTTGACTGTTTCAGACTCCTTGTTGGTGGAATCTGCTACTGTTACTGTCCCAACGACTGTATCACCTTCATAGTAATACAAATTATTCCTCCTTATGCCTTTCATCACCACGAGCGAGCCGGATGTAGCCTTCATAACTCCATCTCGCAAAGTCACTACCAAGCCTTTGGATCCCAAGGCTCCTAATGAGATGAGGTTTTTCTTCAAACTCGGCACGTACCGAACATCCGTCAAAACTCTGGTGGAACCATCGCGATTCTTCAAACGGATTGAACCTATACCAGTTGTCTTACAGGCATTATCATTACCCATATAGACAACCCCTCCATTGATCTCCTGAAAATTGAAGAACCACTCCCTTATGGGAGACATATGGTAGGTGCATCCTGAATCCAAAATCCATTCGTCTGGATGAGATGATGAAGGTGAAACCACAAGTGAAAATTTTGAGTCTTCACTTCCACCCTCAGCAACATATGCATCTTGAGGAGATTTGCTCTTCTTCTTTAACTTAGGGCAGTCTTTCTTCCAGTGTCCCTTCTCATGGCAGAAAGCATACTCGTCTTTTTCAAGCTTGGCTTTGGAACGTGATCTTCCTCGTCCATTCTTCTTTTGTCTCTTCTATCAACCTCTTGCAACTAACGCTTCATCTTCTGCTGCTGCATTCTTTGTCTCTTGTTTGTTCTTCTTCCTCAACTCATAGCTATACAGAGCAGAATTGACCACTGCAAGAGTTACATCGTCCTTCCCATGGAGCAGAGTAGTCTTTAAGTGCTCGAAGTCATCTGGAAGTGATAATAACAACATAAGAGCCAAATCTTCATCGTTGAATGTGACGTCCAAGTTCAACAAATCTGCAACTAACTGATTAAATGCAGTGACGTGATCATTCATCAATGTGCCATACCGGTACTCAAAACGGGACAATCGCTTCTTCATGAGGAGCTTATTCTGGCCGCTTTTCTTCAGAAATTTATCCTCCAAAGCCTTCCACAAAGTGTGAGCAGAGTTCTCATTCTTGAACGCATACTTCTGCTCCCTCGACAAACACGAACGAATTGTTCCACATGCTAAGCGGTTGATATTCTTCCAGTCCTTCTCTTCAACGTCTGTTGGCTTCTCTTTTTCAATCGCAATGTCGACGTCTTGTTGAAATAAACAATCCAGCACCTCGCCTTGCCACATGCCGAAATGACCGGTGCCGTCGAAAATCTCCACCGGGAGTCTGACGTTCGACATCACCGTCCTTGCCGGAATGAATGCAGAGGATGATGCGCCCTTGACTTCCTTGGATATCTCGAACCCGAATGCAATGCTCGCCTCTTCAAATGAGCCTGGGACGAACCTTCGGCTCTGATACCACTTGTTGGGGTATCACAACAAACGCAGCGGACAAAAGTACCCCTCCAACGAATATGGCAAGCACTACTCCAAAATGAAAAATAAGCCAACGCAAATAAATAAAAGACGGGAAAGAAAAGAACACAAAAATTGATAACGGAGTTCGGCGAAAATAGCCTACGTCTCCGGGCACCGGCAACCGCACCGCCAAATTTACTAAACTCACCAACAAAATACAACTAGGGTTAAATAACCCACAAAATAGGATTTTCTTAATTAAGTATTTCCTTCTAAATAGGAGAGAATAGAATAATGTGCAATTGTAACCCAAAGGCAATGGACCTATTTATACTAAAAAGATCCTACACATCCGATGTGGGACAAAAGTTAATCAAAATCTAACATTAATCATATTCTCTTATTATTTAAATAAGTACTAATAATTTTATTAATCATGATTTACTTGTTGTATAGAAGTTGGCTCCACTATAGAGAGCCAACTGTTAGCTTCATACCAAAACTGAATGGTTAATATGTGTATTATTATGATGTTTATGAATATATGTCATCATCCATGAAATTAGGATTTTGATTGGAATCATTATATCTTTTTAACCTCTTAGATTGGGGATGAAAACATCAATATATTTTGCACAAATGTTAATAGTTGATTGGCAATGATTTCAATTTTATTTAGCAGTTGCAACTTGCAAAATTAGATCAAATTTCATGATTATGAAAGGTTTAATTATTACTAGAGTGGTACAAATTATTAGGTAAAATGGCCAATCAAATATTGAAATGTATGATTATTGTTCAAGCTTAATTTAATTAGTCTTAGCTCAATCCTCAATTTTATTTGGAAAAACACATATGCAATCGTGTTATATTTATTCAAAATATTGATATCAATGTAGTGACAAACTTTAACATTTATTGATTTTAGCCTCACAAATTAAATGCAGCAATTTTTTTTTTTTATTTTTATGATCCCATGCTCTAAATACAATAATAATGATTTATTAAAAAAAATTAAATGAATAGCGTGCTGTACAGTACAATAAAACTCTCCATAGTTGTAAATGAACAACTCAAATCATCAGCTATTGACTGTAAATAGGTCATGCCATTTGTAGCATCTTTATATATTTATTTCAATTTACTTTAATTTTGTATGAGCTGAGGGGCATCATAAAACTTGAACCATAATTCATAAATAACTTTTATAATGATTTCACATCATATGGGCTTTTTATTTGCCTATTTGTAGAATCATTTTTTTTTTTTTTTTTTTTTTGGTGTGAAATTGATTATTTGGTGACATGACATTGCAATGCCAGCTTTTTGGAGGAAAAATATTAATGGAACAATTAATAAGGATGGAAATCATGTTAGATGGAGATAGAGGTGGTCAAGGTCCGACCCGGCCCGCCGTCCCGGCACCGGATTGTCCCGCAACCGGCCTGGATTTCGGCGATTCTGTGAACTGGAAACATGGCTATGCAGGTCGATTCCGGTTCATTTTTTTTTATTTTTGGTCCTTGCGATCTGGGCCGGGCTAAGTCGGGCGGCGGTGTTGTGTGAATATATTTTTATTTAATGTGTCGAACTGGCCAAAAATCGACGAATTCAACGCCGGGTCAATGGACTGGCCATAGAAATTGACAAGCCGGTTACAAGCCATTAAATTGAGGCACCGCCCACCCGGCAGGTCGGGCTGGGCCAGTCCGTGATTTAGCCACGTCTAGATGGAACATGTCTCCCAAATTAAGGTGGCTATCTACTAGTAAAATTTGTTTTCATTTTATTTGCTTCTTCAATATTATTCTCATTTAGATTTTGAATAATGAAAATAATTTTTTAAAAATTTTATTATTTTTTTATTTTTTTATTTTTTTATTTTTTTTTCTAGAACGATAGGTGGTTAAATGTTAATCATGGCATAGCCCTTTGCAAAATAAATTATGACTCAATTGCTATTATTTTGGGAGATTTTTTTTATTGACCATGTTATTATATCTTTCCATTTTGATAGGAAAAATATCAATGAGATGGATGTGTTAATAATTAATATTAAAGTATTATTTTTACTTATATTAAATTTCACTCAGACACCGAAAAGAACGTTATTCTACTGTACTATTGATATTATTAGGTTGCATAATCACCAGACAATTATATTTTTTTTCAGAAAAAAAATACATACTTATTTTTATAAAATATAACACTTTTGTTTATAAAAAATATTTTTTCCAACGGATGATTGTTTTTTAACATATATATATTGCTAGTTTTTTTATTTTTCTTTCAGGTTCAACCAAAATACATTATTATTAGTATTACATTACCTATATACAATTTCCATTAACTAAGGTTTTAAATAATAATAATAATAATAATAATGATAATAATAATAATAATAATATCTGTATATAAAATATAATTATTTCACTAACTAAGGTTTTTAATAATAATAATAATATATCTGTATATAATATATAAATTATTTCATTAACTAAGGTTCTTAAATAATAATAATAATAATATATCTGTATATAAAATATAAATTATTTCATTAACTAAGGTTTTTAAATAATAATAATAATAATAATAATAATAATAATAATAATAATAATAATAATAGTATATAATAATAATATATGTGTATATAAAATAAAATATATAAATTATTTCACAATCTACATACTAATTTGAGTACAAAGCTTTGTACACAAGTTTCATTGCTTGCAACAAAGCGGAGTACGTGAGAAGAGAATCTGTCCATGTCAAAGCTAGCTTTTTCTTACTTATTATTATTATTATTATTATTATTATTATTATTATTATTATTATTATTATTATTATTATTATTATTATTGACCCATTTATATATCCCCACATCAGCAAAGGCCACTAGCATTCCCCATTCTTCAATGGCTGCACCATCGCCGCCTCTCGCCGCCGCAGCCGGAGAGAAGAAACACTGGTGGCTCACCAATAAAAAGGTACACTTCCCTCTCATTACCCGCTCCATTTTTCTCTTCTTTTATCCTTTTCATTTAAATAATGTATTAATTAGTCGAACAATCCAAGCAGATGGTGGAGAAATACGTGCGGGAAGCGAGGTCGCTCCTCGCCACACAGGATCACGGCGACGTAGCGGCGGCGCTGCGCCTTCTGGAGGCCGCCCTGGCCCTGTCGCCGCGCATGGAGGCGGCGCTGGAGCTGAAGGCCCGCTCCTTGCTTCACCTCCGGCGGTTCGCCGAGGTGGCTGACATGCTCCAGGACTACATCCCTAGCCTCAAAATGGCCGTCACCTCCGACGACACGTCATCGTCTTCTTCCGGATCTTTTTCCGACACCTCCTCGAACCGCCTCCTCTCCGCCGGCGGTTCCGAACCGGCGTTTAAATGCTTCTCCGTTTCCGATCTGAAAAGGAAGGTCGTGTCTGGTTTGTTCCCAAACGGCGACAGGGAAGGTCAATGGAGGTAGGTGGTTGATTTCCCCCTCTTTTATTTTTTTATTTTTTTATTTCGTTCTATTAATTAAAATTAAATGGCACAGTTTGCTTACAGACTACGCGAATTAAACACAGCTGGATACAATTTCCTCTGTTTTCACATTATTAGATGAAATTTAACCTAATTTAACTCTGATTGGGGATTTATTTATTTTTTTTTTTTAAAAAAAAAAACAGGTACTCGGTGTTGGGCCAGGCATGCTGCCACCTAGGACTAATGGAGGACGCCATGGTCCTCCTCCAGACCGGAAAACGCCTTGCCGCCGCCGCCTCTCGCCGCGAAAGCGTCCACCTGTCCGACGACGCCTTCTCCCTGAATAAACCCTCCCCGGAAACCACTCCCCCTCCGCCACCGAACGCCGCCTCCCACCACCTCCTCTCCCACGTCAAGCTCCTCCTCCGCCGACGCGCCGCCGCCTCCGCCGCCCTCGACGCCGGCCTCCACTCAGAAGCCATCCGCCACTTCTCCAAGATCCTCGACGGCCGCCGTGGTGCCCCTTACCCATTCCTTGCCGGATGCTACGTCCGCCGTGCGGCAGCCTACTGCTCGGCCGGCCGCCTGGCCGACGCCTTCGCTGACTGCAACCGCGCCCTGGCCCTCGACTCATCCTCCACCGAAGCCCTCTCCGCCCGAGCCGATCTGTTCGAGTCCATCCGGTGCCTGCCCGACAGCCTCCACGACCTCGAGCACCTGAAACTTCTCTACAACACAATCCTTCGCGACCGGAAGCTTCCTGGCCCCGCCTGGCGGCCGCCGGCCGTCCACTACCGGGAAATTCCGGGGAGGCTTTGCTCACTGGCCGCCAAAATCCAGCAGCTGAAGCAGAGGGTGGCTGCCGGAGAGAAAAGCAGTGACGTGGATTACCACGCGTTGATTGGGATCAAGAGAGGCTGCACGAAGTCCGAGCTCGAACGTGCCCACCTCCTTCTGACACTGAAGCACAAGCCGGAAAAATCTTCAGCTTTTATCGACAAGTGTGAGTTTGTGGACGAGAAGGACGTGGATGAAATTAGGGACCGGGCGAAAATGTCGGCTTTGGTGTTGTACCGATTGCTCCAAAAGGGGTACCGCTGTGTGATGGCGGCGGTTTTGGAAGAAGAGGTGGCCGAAAAACAGAGGAAGAAGAGTGGCAATAGCAATGCTGTTGCCACACCACCGGCATCGGTTTTTCAAGGAGCGTTCTGCAGGGAGTTAGCGGCCGTCGGGAATTTGCTCTCTCAGGCGGGGTATAATTGTCCGATTATTCCGGTGAAGTATGAAGGGTTGAGCTGTTAGATGATTGTTGGATTAATTAAGGGGTTAATTAAATTATTGATTAATAGGATATTCTTGTGTTGTGTTGTGTTGTGGCTTGTATAATAGGGAATGTGTTTAGTTCCACAGAAATTTTGTCTACTTTTGACCATCTCTTTTTTTTTTTTTTTTGGTTTTATTTATTTGAATTTGGTTTCTGTTTTGTGGTGATTCTACGGTCCCGTTACGGAACCATGTCGTTGGGGTTTGTAACCGTTAGATGAACTATCCACGACGGTTACATGATGATTTAACGGTTATAAATCCCGTCGGAATGGTTCCGTAACGGGAGAATAGCATTTTCCTCTGTTTTGGTAGCTGTACAGATTTTATTCAAGCTGAAATCAACCAGGAGTCATTTTCCATGAGGAAGAAAATATTGTAAAGAGTTATAATCAGTTGTGTGTCGTTTTCTAATCTGTTTGGTATGTGAGGGACTTGAAAGCCTGAAAATGGGAGGTTGAGAATTTATTGCCATTGCATTTGTTAAATTGCAGGCTGCTTTGCAGAACAGAAGCAGCTACCTACAACAAATTTTGCCTTAAAGATTGGGCTTTTCAGGCATCTATATCATATATGTGGAGGAGTAAATGAGTTTAACCAAGTAACAAAACAAACCAATAAATGGGCTCGAAACTTAGCGAGTCGAATTCGAACCGAACTTTAGCTATTTACGTTAAAATCCGCTATATCTGAATCTAAACAAATTTTAAAGTACCTTGTTTAACAAGTTGGACCTTAACGAACACGAGCAATTAATTTCGTTTAAGGATTTATTAGAACCGGGGAAAGAGAGTGCGGTCCCACCAAATGAAGCGCACATAAGAGGGTGAGTCTAGATGCACCTTAGTGATGTTTCATCTCAAAACCAATTGGTGATGGAGGCGTAGCCTACTAAACTATATATAAGCTCATTTTTCTATAGAACAACTCATAAATGATATTCCAATTTTGGAACAGAGTTTTTATATGTGTGGTTTCATTATCCTCATCTACAAAGACATGATTTATTCAAGCAAAACTAAAATTTATATTTATATATTTTCTTCGAAAGATTAGGTTTAAATAACATTTTGGAGGGAGGGAATATTTATTTTTAGCTTGAATACAAGTAATACTATGAATAAAGTTTATGATTGTACAAATAGGAGTGTCAGTTTTGTCAGTTGTGGTATGGGATCTGTACCTGAAGCTGAGGATGGATGGATGATGACCCGTAGATGTATCCACTGTAGAATGACCCGTTTCTTGACAAAATATGTCTTATCACCAAACACTAGGTGAAATGTTACGGTCTCGTTATGGAACCGTTCCGTCGGGGTAACGGCTACAATTCGACAGAATGGTTCCGTAACAGGACCGTAGCATCTCCCCAATACAAGACCAACAAAATCCTAATTAATTAATAACTCAATCCCTAAATTTTCTTTATTTTTACTACTTTCCACCCCTTTGTTTGTACAGCTTTTACTCATCAGCCATCATTAAAGGCTGGTCTGCTTTTTCTAAAGTTCTTTTAATTCTGAGAATTATTTGATTAGAATACAAATCAGGGTGAAAAATACTAAACTCAATTTTTTTTCCCCCATGGTGACTTGCTTGATTGAAGCTTAATGCGTCATCTTTTACATGATTAAGCCAACATCAAAAAAAATTGCTGAACTTTAGTCTAATTACTATTATGATTTGTTGTTGGTGAAGATATGTTTTGAGGATATGATTCTTTTTTTCATAGATTTGAATTAATAAAACATTGTAGTTATTCTTGATCTGGAGAAAAATAGTGGAAATGGCTCGTATCTTGTGACAGAAGCTATTCCTCCTGGAACAAAAGGATCAAAATCTTCCACGCCCCACGACAAATTAGAAAACAACTACAAATAGTTGAATAAATCAGCGAACCAAATTGAATCTCTAGAAAATGTTTACATAGAGATAGCCTAGAGCCGATGAGTCGATGACACAAACAAACACAAGCTAAAACAAAAGTTATCTAACCACCCCCACATGAGAGAATCTATATCAAACACTCCAATTATGAAATACACAAAATACAAAGCAAATCACAAGAAAACACATAATAAACACAAAAAAACGCCTAATAAGTATAATAATGTCATCCATTCTCCTACATAGTTTGCCACTGCAATCGTCGTTTCAATTCAAAAATCCGAAAACAAACAACTTAAGATGGGCAGGACTACGATCGAGACACCAAGAAAACTCCGAGGCATCAGCGGTGAGGGGCATGGTGGAGACATCAGCGGTGCCGCTACCGGAGACTAGAGGGCTGCAGTGGTTTGTTGTTTTCGGAGGCCAGCACAGAAAAAAAGGGATGAGAGAAGAGAGAAAGTGAAGAAAGAAGGGCGTGAAAGTGTTTAGAATTTAGATACAAATAATTATCATCTTAATCACTTGTTACATCGTTGTTAGAAAACACATAACAACAGTTTGGCGCTAGAAGGAGGGCCCTCTTACGTGATTTGAGGTCAATCTCCGCTTTTCCAAGTGACGATTCACACCAGCCATATCCACCATGTCTCACTCAGATCATCGTGGTCACACTTCACGAGACGGCCACAGTCGTAGCGCCGCGCAATCTGCCAGACGACAAGCCGTGGCCCCACCTGTACCGGATTATGCTGTTCTGTTTCAAAATCCGGAGTTTGCGCGTGGGTTTGCTGCTTTAATGGCCCAAGCGATTCCGGGAACATCAACGACTGCTCCGAGACACTCCATCATTCCCACGACTCCCGCAAATCGGCAGAATCCACTGGCGCGACAAGACGGCGGAAGTACAACATCTCATGCTACATCTCAACCTCGTGATCGAATGTCGCAACCGCCTCCGGAACAAAATACGCGTCACACCGACGCCGGGCGCAATCCTCCTATACTTCCTCAAGAAAAAACCGCCAAAAGCCAGTCGGGTCATTCACGACGATCACCGCCTCGTGCACAATGCCGAAATCCCTCCAACCCGGCGCAGACCGACCTTCGACAGCATATTGAACGAAATCGGGCTCGTCAAGAGTCATCCGAACTCGAAACACTGCGATGAAGAATAGCCGAATTGGAAAGTCGGCAACGGGCACCTGAAGATCCACCTCGGCGGGCCTCCACCTCGGCACAAGTGTATTTGGAAGCCGATTCTCCCCTTACTCCGGAGCTCACTTCGGAACCAGTACCTGGAAAAGTCAAAGTCCCCCAGATCGAGCTATATGATGGAACATCTGACCCTGACTCGCACCTCGGTCATTATACTTCTTGGATGGATCTGCATGGGGCCTCAGACGCACTTCGGTGTCGTATGTTTTCACTTACACTGGGGCCTCGGGCCCAAAAATGGTACCATTCTCTTCCTCCTCATTCAATTTGGAAGTGGCAACAACTGAGGTCGGCTTTCCGATCTCATTTCATCGGGGCTCAAGTATTCCTTATCCCAAAAGAATCTCTTGCGAATATCATCAAAAAGATGATGAAAGTGTCAAGGATTATATTGCCCGGTTCAATGACCGAGTTCAGAATATGGAACCCTGTCATCCTGAAACCTTGCTTGTCATGGCTATTGCTGGATTGAAACCGAATTCAATTTTCCGCTAGACACTATGCCAAAATAAACCGAACACTTTTCAAGAATTTCTCGCTCGAGCCCAGCAGCACATCATAGCGGAAGAAGCCATGTCAGTTCCCGATTTTTAACTTTAACCCGAAGTCTTCTAAAGCGGGAACCGACGAAAAAAGGAAGAATAAATTTTTCGACAAGCAAAGTAAGACTCAATTCAGGGGACCTCCCCGAGGAGACCCCAATGATCCTGAAGTTCGAGCTGCCCGCAAACAGTATGCTACCGACGTGAAGTCCGGTTATCAAACCGTGTATTCTACAGGAGCAGCCACCATATATGAAGAAATCAAAGGGAAGGGCATCTTACCAGATCCCAAACCACTTCGGATGCCCGAAGAAAAACTGGACAAATCCCGATATTGTGATTATCATAAGTCGCCAGGGCACAACACGGACGAGTGTTTGAGTTTGCTAGCCGCATTGTTGCGTTTGATTTGCCATCCGCAGCTTAGAAAATTTTACCGTAATACTGATCCCCAGAGGCGAGGTCCGGGACGCCAGATCGAACCCTTCAATGAAGACGATGAGGAGGACCGAGGTGCCATGCCAAAACGCATTCGACAAGAAGACAAAGAAGTATTTGTGTTCACCTCGGAGACATCCGATTCTAACTCTGCTGGAACTTCCCGAGGACGTAAACGAGACCGATCTTCTATACCGATGCAAATCACTGTCCACCGGGTCAATACCAATAACCCCCGGAGTACATTATCCCGTCGACAGGTTAAGGCATATGCCCGATGATGGGTTTCTTCTCAGATCTGGAACGGTCCAATGAGAAAACGTCTTGATCTGGGACGAACCGGTATGAATGAGCTTAGATCTGATGTGATGGCGCTCGAACCGTTGTTGTTGAGCCGCAAGAACACCTGCAAGAACTCAATGCCGGAGGGGTTTCCGGCGTAGAGCCTCCGACGCTCAAGTCAGTATATGAGAGAGATGATGAGAGCTGCTATGAGAGCAGCAGCAGTAATGGAAAGGGTATGGAATGAATGGGAGTTAGGGTTTTGGGCTTACCTCAGTCCTTTTTATAGAAGTACAATATTTACCTGAAGTCCCCAAAGTGCCCCGGCCGACTCAATGGAAATGTCCAGAATACCCCGGTCGGTTCATATTCTGCTTACTTCTTAGTCGGCATCTAGATCCTTCCTTAGCTTTCTTCTTATCCTTAACTTCTTCTTCAATATGCTGAGGTGTGTCAAAGCTATCGGGAACCACGAACTGCAAGACTCCTTCAGTCGACTTGAGGTATTGAGTCGAGTCGACTAGATCGCATCCCACCGTTAATGGACCCTGATACGTCTGATCGCAATCTCGGCAGAGGTCGACTCGTTCTAGTCGACAGGTGTACGTTGAC